CAGAAGACGTGAACTCGTGACTCGAAGACGTGAACTTCAGTGAGAAGATCTGTGTGGTCGCTCATCCGAAGCGCGTGAACCCGCGTCTCAGAACGCGCGCAAATATTAAGCTCTCTGTAAAGTGTTGTGTTTGAATGGACAAATTCACACAAAAATTATGTCAGAATCCTAGCAGACATAGCCGGCTGAACGTACAGTATCGGAGCACTGGATCAGTGCGTTCTCTTAATGATACAAACCGAACTGTGAGTAAGTTGAACCGTTGCACCCCTAGTATAGATAGTTACATAGATATGAAATTGATGTTACTTTTTTAAATTTAGTTAGATTTGCACCTAAATTGTGGTAATAATAACATTTGAAATGGGAAAAATGCTCAAATTAGAAAATTGCAACATAGAATTGTTTTCACTAGTGTTCACAGACCACACTGTATAAATTTTAATACATTTTCAAGTCACTTTAGGTAGCCGAAATAGTAAATATGTGACCCTGGACCACAAAACCAGTCATAAGGGTCAATTTTTTGAAATTGAGATTTATACATCATCTGAAAGCTGAATAAATAAGCTTTCCATTGATGTATGGTTTGTTAGGATAGGACAATATTTGAAAATCTGGAATCTGAGGGTGCAAAAAAATCAAAATACTGAGAAAATCGCCTTTAAAGTTGTCCAAATTAAGTTCTTAACAATGCATATTACTAATCAAAAATTAAGTTTTGATATATTTACGGTTGGAAATTTACAAAATATCTTCATGGATAGGGTTGGGTAGTGTTTGAATTTTATCAATTCCGATTCCGGTTCTGATTCTGCTTATCGATTCCTATTCTTATCGATTTCTAATTCCGATTCCAATAAGATTAAAATAAAAATTAAACAAATAGTCAAATATTTAGATGTCAAACATATTTATTCTGTTTTATGTCTATGGTTTTATCAAAAAATTACCACAGAAAAAAACAACTAGACTAATATAAATTTCAAATATTAAATTGTTGTAAACAATGTACTTTGTTGACGGCTGTCTCTTTAACACACCGAACACACACAGATCTAAAAATAAAATCTGTTTACATTCACTTAAGACAGAAAACGGCTGTGTTTATGATGATATACCAACATATTTCGTGCATATTGGTCGATAAATGTGAAAGAGAAGTCAGTTCTGGCCTGGAACAACCTTTGTGGAAATGCACGGAACAGTTCGAGAACGGACACAGGTCGGGAACCTGCATCGGGACCACTGTTCTCTGTGCTTGCACTTTAGATGTGTGCGCTGCACGCAAACAGTGTGCAAGTTCTTTCCCTTCCTGCACTTAAATAGTTTAAAATCACATTAAAATGCGAACGCGGGAATCGTTAAGAGGAATCGAAATGCATATCTTATCGAATACCCAATTATTGGAAATTTGGAACCGGTTCTAAAATGGAACTGGTTCTCGATACCCAACCCTATTCATGGAACATGATCTTTACTTAATATCCTAATGTTTTTTGGCATAAAAGAAAAATTGATAATTTTGACCCATACAATGTTTTTTTGCCTATTGCTAAAAATATACCCAAGCGACTTAAGACTGGTTTTGTGGTCCAGGGTCACATAGATTTCATGTCACCTTTATTTATATAATGCTTTATACAGCAGAGATTTCAAAGCAGCTTCACAGTGTTAAACAGGAAAGTAACAGAATCAGCTATGCAAACTTCATCAATAAGGCAAATCCCAGTTATACTACAAAGCAACTCTAAAAAGACAATCGTGCCATTATTCAGCTCCACTCAGTTCAATGTTGGTTCAGTTCAGTTCAGTTCAGTTCAATTCAATAACTGTGTAAAGTACCACTGTACCACTGTGTAAACATCCACAGTGTCCACAGTACAGTCAAATAAATATTACTGAATATTAAGCTCTCAGAATAGAGGTGAATTGATGGTTCAGTAGGGCTGGGTGATATATGTGTATATATATATATTTAACATCCTGCCAAAAGCAAATAAATATTACTGAATATTAAGCTCTCAGAATAGAGGTGAATTGATGGTTCAGTAGGGCTGGGCGATATATGTATATATATATATTTAACATCCTGCCAAAAGTTGTCCAATAAACCAATGTTTATATTAAAGGCAATGAAAACAAATATAGTGAAAGTAGGCTATGCTATCCATTATGTGCAAAAAAAGGGCTAAAATCACATTACATTGTAACATTACAATCTAAAAACAAAAATAAAGCTTTTTAAGGCAGAAGTTTAATTCACTAAACTAAAAATGAAAGTAAATAAACAAGAGCACAGATTAATTGCATTTTATTTTTGATTACCCCATTACAGACATCTGCTATCAATAAATACACTTATTGTAGGTTTAAAATTCTATATATGAAACAATTATTGCGCTCCTATTCTATTGCGCTCCGTCTGTTTGGCGTGCATGCACGCGGCAGCGCTCGTTCACTGAAGTCTGTGAAGTTTAGTGGAGAATCGCATGCAAAAGGCTCCTGACAGCAAAATGGAAATATTTCCATTGCTTTCTAACATTCACAGATGGAGAATACCTGTGAAACTTGTGAAATGTAAGTATCAAACTACTGTATATCGATATAGGCTGTATTATTGATAATACCATATCGCCTATTAAAAATATATCGATATATCATACAAACTCGATATACCGCCCAGCCCTGTATCAGGTTCAGTACTTGTAATAACTTGCTTAGGAAATAATGTTTGAAAAAAAAAAATCTGAATGCCTATGTGGACATTCTTGAAAATCTTGTCTCTGTTATGATGTTTTCTAAGAGCTGTTCCGCTTACAGGTATTTTAAGGTAACCTCACGAAATGTTTCAGGACGTGTGGCAGCCCTGGCACTACTGTACTACACTTTCTCTCATCATGATGGCCAACATATTATGCAATATCGGTTAGTTATGGCTTGATTTATTTTTACACTGTGCTCCTTTTGAGTGAGCTCAGAAAAATGTAGTCTGAAATAGTTTCAGGGGTAAGAATAGCTGTGAATGTGATCTGACTATGGTTACATCATCCTTGTCATGCAGCTGCCCAGAGGACATACTTGCGTCTATTGTTTGTTTTATAGTTCTAAGCAGGAATGTGCAATGATAGTCGAATAGTCATCCAACAGCCAACCAGTCGATTAGTAAGGTTGATTAATTTATCTAAATTATTCTTAGAAATTTAGTTTAGATATGCTTTAACATACTGACATCGTTCTGTGCTTTAGTTTTTAGACCGTTTGCATAGATTTCTTTCTTGGAAAAAGTCATAAAATGAAAAGGCACCATATGTATTTTCTTAATGCATGATAATAATATTATTGTGCATCAACTACAGGCTTACATTCATTCATTTTAAGCAAATTTTTGTTTTTGGGTGCTTTGTTCCTAATAGACAGTCCAGATTGGTTAACTAGTTGTTTATATGGTTTTGAAAAGTTACATTTATTTTTTATTTAATTTTTTATATTTTTAAGTGGTGTCACAGGAATGGAAGAGGTTTACTTTGTTTTCTCACAGATCTATGCAGTGTTCTGTTAGGAGACTTGGCCCGTGCATTAGCAGTGGTAGGGAATTGGGGGAATTGGGTTATTGTCTGGGGAACTTAAACAAATATGCAGTAGAGGGACTCAGGCATAGTCCTGAGAATACCCTGGGTCACATCTGGGAAAATGTCACATTATCACAGTCTCTAATACACCAGCTCCTTCTACAGCGACCACCAAATTGTTCTCACTGATATGCAGAGATCTCTTGGGAGACGTTAACTGCGTTCTCTTTTGTCCCAAGTGCACTCTAGCATGCAAGTGGAAAATGTTCCTCATTTCACAATAATCATGGTGCCCATAGATTGTGGCTTGGTCCCAATTATTTTCCTTATTCTGAATAAGACAATATTATGATTAAGGTGTTTACATGAGTTGCTTTTAGAATATTGCTTTCAGGTTCCCGCTTTACATGTTATAGTTACATAGATCGATTAATGGCAGACGCCATCCAACGTTCCCTCCAGAATTTCACGTATCAACATACAGTTCGTCTTTGGTACTATACAGTTTTGGGTGTTTCATTTTTAATTTTACGAAAGCTTCAAGTGCAGTTAATTATATGTCATGCTATACGTGCAAACAGACAACGACGGATAAAAATATGCCTTCTTGCTTGAAGCCATGCTCTTTTGTTTGCCGTTAAACGGTTGACCACTGTTGTGTGTGTATCCTGTCGCAAAATGCGGCGAAAAGTCCTACACAACGGTAATAGTGTGATTATGGTGTGTACATGTCTATACTGCACTTCAATATGCAATATTTCAATATTCAATATAGGAATACTCCACATGTCATAATTAGATTTGTGTTTACTTCGAGTGTGACTTTAGCCGGATTAAGGTAATCAAAAATCTCTGTTTACATGGTAGATTCTTAATCAGAGTATTGTCTTAATCGTGTTAATATCGAATTATTGTTGTCCATGTAAACGTACTCATTGTTGTAATGGGCTGTCTAATGGTTGAGCTAAAGTTATTTAATTTGGCTACAGTTACAGGATGAGTTATAGTTCATGCAAAGTTGAATATTTTAGGTTAGAGGTTTGTTCCGATCCCTAACTCTTAGTATGAGCGATATTAATGGTTATCATTGCCTGAGCAAGAATCACTATTTATCTTTATATTTTTGTGGATATGCAGTTTGTATTTTGGTTCTGAGCTACTATGTTCATGTTGGCTGAGGTAGTAGTGTTGTTCGAGTTTTGGTTCATTTGACAATTCTGTGACCTGTTTACTTCAGTTTTGTGCCAAGGAGCGCATTGTCAAAAACAAAAGTCTGAAGCCCACTTAAGGTATAAACTCTTGCACAATTCTCAATTATAGCCAGACGAAAGTAGCAGTAACTGGAATGGCACCCTCTTGTGTTGCCATGGATTGTTTGTTTACTCTGGTGTGACATAAATGTATCCTTCTTTATCTCTCTCTATTCAGGGCAATGATGAGGAAGCTGTTGTTGATCAGGGGAAAACCAGCTCTACCATCCACACAAACTTTGAAAAAGAGGAACTTGAAAGTAAGCCACTTCCTTCGTTCACATAACCCCGTCTTTTATTTACCCCTCATAATCATATGCCTTGTTTTTTTGTGTGTGTGCTGTTTTATCCTCAAGCATACCATCTGGTCTTTTGGCACATGGAGGTGTACAGTAAATTTCTGCTGTTGTTTTCATTCATTACTTTGGGTGTGTTTTAAAGCACAATGATTAAAACCATCCCTCCGCCTCAAGCTCATTTCACTCTCTGGCTGAGTTCATTGAGGTTTTTGACCTTAAACTGCCCCCCTTCCTCTCTGAGGGCTCTCCCGTGGGTCAGCGGTATGTTTCCTTCTGCATGTGTTCTGGAAGCTTGTGCGTGTTGGAAAGGAGGCACTAGGTGTTTGGTAACAGTGCTTTGCCAGAAGAGTAAGGCAAGAAATGTCTCGAACTCACAAGAACTCATTCTTAAAGTGACTTGTGCCTAGTGTGAGGGGACATCTGACCTACGTCTTACAATTATGGCATTCATAGTCTGTGAAGTGATTCCCTTGCTAGCATGAGAGTTGCACAGACTTTAGCCAAAGTAAATGGCATATTTATTTTGGCATGAATGGAAACAAAGCTGTGAGTAGTGGTTGACCGATATGTACTGATATATATGTAAATAATTCAAATTAGACAATTACTTACATCAGACAAACTCCTATTCATGATAAAAATCATTAAAAAGTTAAAGCCTAAATATTTAATATTTGTAATGCTGATAAAAAATATATATTACTTATTGAATGTATTTAATGTTTAATATTATACAAAATTTTATATTTATATTTTTAGGTATTAAATTAATTTTAAGGTATTATGTATTTATATATTCACTTACACTACCATACAAAAGTTTGGGTGGTAAGATTTTATTAATGGTTTTGAAAGAAGTCGCTTATGGTTACCAAGGCTGGGCTTATTTAATTAAAGATGCAGTAAAAAGGGTAACATAATATAAATTTATTTATTTACATTTTTTATTATTTAAAATAACTGTTTTCATTTTTTAAATTTCTGTTTCTAATTTAAATGGAATTTATTCCTGTGATGGCAAAGCTGAATTTCCAGCAGCCATTACACCAGTCATATGATTCTTCAGAAATCATTCTAATATGCTGATTTGCTGCTCAAAATTTTATTATCATCCGTGTTGAAACAGTTGTCCTGCTTAATATTTTTGTGAAAACAATGATACATTTTTTTTTCCAAATATCTTTTTCAAGATGAATGAAAAGTTGAAATAGAAATCTTTGAGTTGACACATTTGAATTACTTGTTCTTCTGTGCCTCACAGCCTTATTTACGTTTGTGTTCTTGCCTGGAGAAAAATGGCATCTACTCAGACTAAGGTTCATTAGAAAGTTCATTCTGTTTCACAACATCTTGTTTAAGCACTGATTTCAGCTTCAGGAACCGCGCCATACAGGTTTAATATAATTCTGATATAATTGTAATGTATTAAAGAGGGATCCTGTCAAAAGTAGCATGTACAGTTCGGGCCGCTGCGCTGGCCTCCCGCTTGCTTTAATAGCATTAAGATGGATTAGACAACAGCTCAAGATCTAATTAATTAAACCGTGCCTGCTCAGGTCATGCATTTGGTACCACCAGCATTAACTGCATGCTCAATTCCTGACGTAAAACACTATCTTGCTAAACATTCTTGTTTGTCCTCTTTCACTTTCTCTTTGACAGCTGACATCATTTTAAGGGAAGTCACAGGAAGCCGTATGCCCTATTCAGTATAATGATGAAGCATATTTCTCAAATGGAATCGGTTACATTTACTGGAATTATATATTCAGTGGAATCTTTAAAGGGATAGTTCACCTTAAAAATGAAAAATCTGTAATTTCCTCAATCTTATATCATTTCATGACTGACTTACTTTTGAGCCTGATGTTTAAAGGGATAGTTCACCCAAAAATGAAAATTCTGTCATCATTTACTCCATCAAGTTGGTAAACAAACTATTGATGGTAGCCATTGACTTCCATAGTATGGGGAAAAAAACACTAGGGCTGGGCAGTATATCGAGTTTGTACAGTACGATATATCGATATATTTTTTATAAACGATTATGAGAGGCAATACCACCTATATCGATATACAGTTTGATACGAGCGCATCTGCAAAAATAGCGGCGGACATAGTGTGAGCTGCTGTGGGGAAAGTGCATAATCCAGTTTATCCTAAATATGAGACATGCTTATATTTAGGGCTTTTAAATAACTCGTAAGATATAGTTAACACATAGTTTAAAGTGGCTTGCCCAGCGAGATGCTCTGACAGATACATGTGCTGCTGACAGAGACGCTACTTGTGCTACTTGTTTAATGTGTTTGAGATGTGCTGTTTTCTCAGCGCATAACTTACATTTCACAGGTATATTCTCCATCTTTAAGTGTTAGAGAGTCATAGAAATATTTCTATTTTGCTGTCAGGAGAGCATGATCCTTCTGCATGTGACTTTCTGCTAAACTTCACAGACTTCAGGGAGCGAGCGCCACAGAATATGAGCGCAATAATTATAAAAAATATAATAAAATATATACTTTGCTAAAATATTTGTAGCTGGACAAATGTGCCATATGTAGAATTTTAAACCTACAAGTATTTTATGATAGCAGTAACTGTAAATTGACTATTGTAATGGGGTAATCAAAATATAATTAAATTAATCTGTGCTTTTGTTTTTATTTCTTTTCATTTTTAGTTTAGTGAATTTAACGTCTGCTTTAAAAAGCATTGTTTTTAGATTGTAATGTTACAATGTAATGTGACTTTAGCCCCTTTTTTTGCACTTAATAGCCCATAGCCTACTTGGTCACTTTCACTATATTTGTTTTCATTGTCTTTAATATAAACATTGTTTCACTGGACAACAATGAGCAGAAACAGACAGGCAGATTTTCAAAGCAGTATTTTTTGTGAATGATTTTAAATTTAGGTCTGTTCCTCACACAAAGCTATCATGCAGCTTCAGAACACTTTGAATATAGCACAATGTTTCCCACAGACTTACACTCTATGTGTGGCGGCACTTCCCCTGGGGGAAATATATATGTATATAATGTAAATATAAAATAACAGACGGGCTTATTGAAAGTGCAAATTCAATCTCTTTACTCACTTTAAGAGTGGCAGAAACAGCGGTTTCCCCGGTAACAGCTGTAATCAAAACAGCGCTGCGCTCATGAATGCTACTTTATCAGGCATTATAGGAAAGATTAAGTGAAAATGATATCAAAACTTTTCTGAAGACAATCGGTTCCCTTCAAAAAAGATACATTTATATAAAAACACCCGTGCCGTGTTTTGATTTTGAAATGTGCAGTGCTCATGATTATTCAACGAAGTCAAATCATTTTGGAAAATCTATTTGTGGCGTTCAGTGTTGATATTGTGGCAGGCCGCCACAAATAAGTCAACGTATGGGAAACCCTGGAATAGACTACTTTCATTTACTTTTTTGGAGCTTGACAGATTTAAATTACCCATTTAATTTCATTGTATGGACCAGCATGAGCATTCTGCCTAAAATCTACCTTTGTGAGAAAATGAAGACAGACTTTTCCTTTTTTTTTTTTTTTTTTTTTTATAAATATTGCTTAAAGTTCTAGAACTCAGTTAGGATTCTTTTTTTATCTTTGTTCATGCCTTTCTGTTAGACATGAATAATGATCTTATCGTAACAGACATAGATAACTTAGTCATGTCATTTTAGTGCCAGTTTTAACTCCACAGCTTTATGCGCTTTGATGTCTTTATAATTTTCTTGTTTTTCCTGTGCCTTGGCTGATAGTTGTAATTAGTAAGGACCAGGATGGGTTTCACAGACATGCAGCTCTGCATAGGGCTGTTGTTTTGTAGTTGGTGTTTAGGGGAGTGTTGAGATAATATGGGAGGAAGCTTTAGTATTGGTCGACTCACCTCCACCCCCCCATTCCTTATTGCTCACAATGTGTTGCTTTGTATCCGCACTGCTTAAAGATTGAAACACGAGATAAGTTCTTTGCTGTTTTTGTGATGCAATTTCATCTCCTCTGTGTGTCTGAAAAAATTGCAAGATGTTTCAAGAGCTGTTGTGACTGACAAAGTGTGTACTTGGCTCTCAGCCTCCCTTGCATTCTCTACGCAGACAAGCGTGTGAAATTGGTGTAGACACAGCAGGTGTTTACAGACCACACATGCGTTCGCACACGTCCCACCCTCACACAACAAGCCGGCTGAATGAAGTTAGCTTTTTTAATTGCTTGGTATTTTCTTTCCTGGTTCACATCATTCTTGTGACGCATGCAGCTTCTGCTTCCCATAAGTCTACCTTCAACACAATAACTCAAGCATGGGTGGCAGATTGAACTTTTAAGCTTTCCTGAAAAACACGCCAGAGAGAGTTAAGATGTTATTTAGGCATATATATAAACACATATATATGTGTTTGTTGAAAGCAAGCCGGATTTCTTGTACAGTTTGTTCACAGTGTCAGATTGTTTTTTGTGGAGTTTAAGAGGGTTGTTCAGCAGAAGTTTGGAATATTAGTACTGGAACATAAGAGCACTTGTGTCACTTTTTGCTCTAGGAGTTTTGTAAAACCATGTAAAATCTGCTTCCATGATGCTAGAGTGTTCTGGGCGGATATGTCGGTACCATGTTGGTTCTTCAATATTGTATATTTCCTTAACAATTTCTACCCATTATACCAATGTTGAGTAGCACTCATTTAGTGTTTTATTTCTAAGTTATTTAGACAAAATAGTATGCCTTTACACACACCAATAAGATTTTAAACATGTTCTTAGTATTAGTGGATGGCGCATTTTATTTTTCAGTTCATGTCAACATAATTTTTCTTTTTGTGCATTGAAATGTGGCTCAGGAAATGCTTAGTCCTGAGATAGACAGTTCAGACAATTAATAATTCATCTTGTGTGTCTGGAACACTGTTTGTATGTTGTATTTGATCTCTTCCTTTTCTTGTCTATAATGCATTTCAAAAGGTCTTCCTCTTACATGCAGTACAGGACCGAGTAATAAAGTCTTTCTCTTTATAGGTCACAGGGCAGTTTACGTGGGCGTACATGTTCCTTTAGGAAGACAAAGCAGGCGTAGACATCGCCACCGTGGTCACAAGCACCATCGGAAAAGGAAGGACAGAGGGTCCGAGCGAGAGGATGGGAGAGAATCTCCAGTGTACGGTAAGCATAACTGTCTAAAATGTCTGTATGTGACAAATTTTCATAAATAAATGGTAATAATTTCCTGTTTTATTTTGCTTTAAGTATCTTGACTCATTGGCTTTGTTTTTCTCTCTCATGGCTGCAGACACTCCCTCACAGAGGGTCCAGTTTATCCTCGGCACTGAGGATGATGATGAGGAGCATATTCCACATGACCTCTTCACTGAGCTCGATGAGCTGTCCTTCCACGACGGACAGGCTTATGAGTGGAAGGAGACGGCCAGGTGAGGAAACAACATGAAGCCTGAGAATGTTCATGTGTGTAGTGGGTGTTTTTGTGTGTACGCTATACTATATATATATATTGCCACAAATGATTACTTAGCTGACAAAGATGGAGTGATTTAACATTGACACTGAATTAATAAAAAAAATACAGAATGTTATTAAATATGTCATGGAATGTTGCAATAAATAAAAGTACAATGTAAGCATGAATAAATAAGGTGTGAATACACTTTCATTAGGCATATATTTGATTTAAAATATTTAATTATGTATTTAGTTATTTTGTGATAATATTGATTTGTTTTATGTTGTCTGCTTTATTTTATTTCAAGGTGTTTTTCATTTCGCATTACATGAGTTTTCTCATTTGAAGGCATATTTCAAGTCACGTCCTTTTTTAATGTTACATAACAAAATAAACTTTAAATTGTTCTTAAATTTAATTGTACTTTTATTTATTAACATTCCATGGTGGATTTAATAATTTCATTTTTATATATATTTAATTAATTTGGTGCATGAAATCACTTCATAATAAAGGACCATTTTGACATTATTTGCATTGACTGATTAAAAGAACAAAAGTGTACCAGTTCCAAAATGTTGTCAGTGGATAATGTGTATTTTTGTTATTTGGTATTTTTTGTTTATGAGTATGAATGTGATGTAAAACGCATTTAAATTCAGAAATGTTATGTTTGTCTAATTTGCTAACATTTTAAATGTTATATTATATTTTAGATGTCCTATTACATTAACCAGTGGCCACCCTGTTCTCTAGACATGGACTTCCGCTTTTGTCCTGAAAACATATTGGTATACATTGGCCCCAAAAAGTAATTGGACACATTGTAAAATGTCTGAATGTCATTGCATTTGATAACAAAATATCAAACCATGTGACATCTGCTAACAACATAATGCTAGACATTGTATAAAAACACTTTTTGTAGCCATATTCACAATTACTTAACTAAACCAGCTGGTTTCATGAATTTTATGTGTGATGTTTCCCTGTGTGATTTCCTCTCAAGGTGTAGTTCATCATATAAACTATGGAAAACCTGAATGTTTGACCACCAGAACGTGTCCGAATACTTGTTTTAATACTTGGTCAACCTCAAATCCTATTTGGTGCAGGTGGTTGAAGTTTGAGGAGGATGTAGAGGATGGAGGAGAGCGCTGGAGTAAGCCCTACGTCGCCACACTTTCCCTGCACAGCCTGTTTGAGTTACGGAGCTGCATTCTCAATGGCACAGTCATGCTGGACATGAGAGCAAACACCATTGAGGAGATAGCAGGTAATGTTTGGCCGTTAGATAAACCCTTATATCTCAGCATGAACAAAATGAACGTCTAAAAAATGTATGTCTCTACCTGTTCCCAGACATGGTAATAGACAACATGGTTGCTTCTGAGCAGCTGGATGAGAGTTTGAGGGAGAAGGTGCGGAATGCCATGCTGAAGAGACATCACCACCAGAATGAGAAGAAACTCAGCAATCGCATCCCGCTCGTACGCTCCTTCGCCGACATAGGCAAGAAACATTCAGACCTGCACTTGCTTGAGAGGAATGGTGAGAGCTTTTGCTGTGCTTGACTTTTTCTTTCTAATATTTACTCAAAAGATCACTTTTGAATAACATTCCATTAAAACCACCACTTATTGATCCTTTGTTCCCACTCAAAAACAAGAAATGAAGGAAAGTAGGGGTGCATAAGGTCCTTGAGTCTGTGGCCAGCAGTTATTAAAGACCTCCGGCAGGGAGTATATGTGAATAGATGCTCCATTCCTTTCAGCGCTAAAAGCAACATTTGACGATGCTTCATTGACTGCTTTCAATCCATCTCTGTGTGCTGTGTTGGTTGCATTTTCTGTCTTTACTCACAACACAGCATCCTCAAGGAAGAGCTAAATGGTGTTGATATTGCGTGCATAAGGCCTGTTTCACACCATACGCATAAGCATAGCGTGAACCTACTGCATAACAGAACAGTTTTTGAACGAAGTCTCTTTTGCTCCACCAAGTCTGCATTTATTTGCTCAAAAATAGAGTGAAACAGTAATATTGTTAAATAAGATTAGATTTTAAGAATGTTTTGATGAATAGAAAGTTCAAAAGAACTACATTTATTTGAAATAGAAATCATTTGTAACATAAATATCTTAAATAAATGAATGCATCCTTGCTAATTTTCAATTCTTTAAAAGGGTCAAGAAATGAGAAATCAACTTTTACTTGAGCTTTTGATATATAAGAGATCATCGTACTAAAGGAATATCCTGTAAGTTTCAGAACTGAATACGTCCTTGTTACTGAAATAAAAGCTTTTATTGACACCAGGCCCATCGAACGCCATATCTTGGAATGTGCCTACCTATGATGTAATAGATAGGTTAAACACCGCCTCCACAGAAGAACATCAACGCCTAATTCTGTAGCCCCGCCCACTGATTCGCGCATTACATAATAGGGAACTAACATAAGTGGCGCTAAACCGGATCAAGCAACCAAGCAATAAACATGCCGTTGAAGATTGCAAAATATTGTGCAGTGCCTGGTTGTGGAAGAACTCCGTCGCTGCATAATCTTCTATCGGATTCAAATATTAGGAATGCGTAGTTGATCTTTTTTTTTTTATGAAGTTTCAGCTCACGTGAGTAAAACATTGAGCGTTTGTTCGCTTCATTTTACCGCGGATTCCTTTTGTAAACAAGACACTGTTCGACACTGGATTTGCAGAGAGACTGAGATTAAAAAGCAATGTTGTGCCATCTATGTTGGATCCGGCAGGAATGACGCAGCACACTTATGTGAGTAAAAAATATTTGTACTGTGTCACTATTGCTTTGTTTGAGATCGCTTGATATGTCCTGATTATGTGTACTTGTCGAACCAAAGTCACAGAAGGCTCCAACTATGAAGGACGCAGCTTGTTAAACAGACACACAGAAAGTTAGTTTACTATGCAAAACTATTATCCAATCATAGCAGTGGGCGTTTACTTCCAAGTCTTCAATACGGCACGCCCATAAAAACCGGCCCATGAGTCGGCCTCAAAACCAGGGTAGAAAATAGTCTATTATTACTTATTGATTTGGATGTTTTTGAATGTAAAAACCATGCAAACGTCATAAGTGGACCTCAGATAACAGTATAAAATAATACAAAAAGCCAGTTCATGACCCCTTTAAAATAATGACCCCAAATTTTTGAACTGATTAATCTATGTTGATTGGAACTCTCAGACCTCAAAATCTATCTTTAAACTGCTCGAATCATCTGGATTCAGACAGATTTACAGATGAACAGAAAGTGCTGCATGTTTAGGTCACTGCATGTGTAACTTTCTTCAAACCAAGCAAAACATTTTTCTGTATATCGCACTGTTGTATTTTGCTTCATAGAAAAATGTGTTTAGAAAAAGAATGTGTTGATTAAACATGTTTACTGAGCATTTTCAACATGTTTTCTGCTTGGTTCAGAGGTTGTTGTGTTACAAAAATAGGCTCCATTCAGAAACCTCTGTGAAACAGGCCTAACCCTGATTCTTAAAGTTGAATGAGGGTTCTGTGATGGTTTACAACCAAAAACAAGCTAGCAACATTAATTAAAATGTTAACGATCAGTGTGTGATGGTCATGTCTTTGGGTGTTGAATCATGTGACTGATTTGCGCTGTCCGTTCTTGCCACCATCTCACCTCCTCACTTCATTCTAACACTCCCAGCTCTCTTATCTCAACATATTTGCTTTTATCTTATTCATCAATGTTGTTTTATTCCATCTGCAGTCTGTTTACTTTCTTTTCCTCTCTTCGTACTTTTCCCTCATCCTTTTTGACCTCCTTCTCTGGTTCATCAGGGGAGGGTCTCTCAGCCTCCCGTCTGTCCCTCCTTAGACGTGCCTCCTCCATCTCCACTCCCCCCAGATCGCGCTGTCCCTCCAGAGAGTCCCGCGGTTCCCGTTCCTCCATCATTCTCAACCAGCTTCTGCCAAGTGCCAATTCCTCCCCCAATGCCTCCCCTTCCGTCACCCCTCAAAACACGCCCCCCACTGCCCACCGCGCTTCATCATCTCTCCGCTCCCCAGGACCCTCTCAGCAGGGACCCGAGCTGCTGGTGGCACGGGGATGGAGAGAGGACATTCCAGAGGTCGTGGTGTTCCCGCCCGAGGAGGAGGAGGAGGAACTGCAGTCATGGTTTTCCACCACTCAGGAAGAGCAGGTGGCGCATAACCCGGCCAGGCTGGCACAGCTCTTGCCCCTACCGCAGTCAGGCAAATATCCAGCCCATCAGCATGATGTGTCACCTGCATGATACATTTGCTCAGCCTCTCACTCTTTATATTTGTCACGAGTGTTTGAGCCAAGGAAACAGTCACTAATTGCATTATTTATTTATTTTTAATTAGACATAATGCTCTACATCGTGTCCTAATTAGCGATGGGCATTTTGAGTACATTATTTTAGATGATGGCACATACACTACTGTTCAAACGTTTGCAGTCAGTACGATTTTTTTGAAGAAATTAATACTTTGAATTCAGCAAGGCTGCATTAAATTGATCAAATGTGACATTAAAGACTTTTTAAATTTTACAAAAAAAATTGTACTTCAAAAAATTGCTGTTCTTTTGGACTTTCTATTCATCAAAGAATCCTAGAAAAAAAGTATCACAGTTTCCTAAAAAAAAATTTCTGAAGGATCTTCAGAGACACCGAATACTGGAATAATTTAAATTCTAATAATATTTCACAATATTACTGTTTTTACTGCATTTAATCAAATAAGTACAGCCTTGGTGAACATAAGAGACTTATTTCAAACACTTTACAAAATCTTTCTGACCCCCAAACATTTTTATTTATTTATTTATTATTATTATTTTTTATATTTACAATTTAAAAACCTGGAGTTATACATGAAAAAATATTTGAATAAATAGAAAAATAACACATCCTAAACAATCTGGTTATGCATGCTAGTTTCAATGCAGTACCTCCAACAATGTCTGTCACATTCTCTCCTGTCTCTTTCCCAAACCTGTCTTTCACACCCTGCCCTCTGTCACCCGGAACAGTATTTGAATGTCTTCTTGTGTCACACAGTGTCCCCACTTGTGTTTTTTTTGTGTTTTTTTTTTGTTTCGCCATGACCAATCCATCAGATGTTTCCATGAGAGCTTAACTGTCCATATGAGACATTTCGACTTGGCACTGTTTTATCCTTCCTTGAGAATACACATGTACACAGAACATCCAAAACATACGTAGCATCTGCAGTGCTCATACTGTGGTTCAGATATTGGTGTGTTCTTTTAGATATTTTGTAATGATCTAGGGGCTTTTTTTAGAATGTTTATTATTTAGCTGTTGCCATAATCACTGCAAATTTATACAGTGACCTCAAAAAGTATTTAAATTAGCATCTCTAGCATTAGATACAAAATACATGATCACACAAATGATGCTTTAAAAGTGTTCAAGCTTATGGGTACTTCATTTTTTTTTTTGGTTTGCTAAAGGTCAAATCACCACAAATAAAGCACACTGAATGGTGGTAGTACCTCACAGGTGCTAATAAATTGTCATGTTAAGGAGCAGAAAGCTGCTTGTGATGCTTTAGGTCATCAGCCTCTTGGAATACAAGAAGTGTAAACTGAGCCTGTTGAAATGGGAGTGGGTGATGTCATAGGGTCGCTCTATGTTGTACTTTGCTGCGTTCACGTTGGCAGGGCGTGCAGCTTGCATGCTTGCAAACCTGACCAGGCTCTAGTGGCTGACATTAAACAATTGCAATGACTGATTTGTCTGTTCCGTGTGTTTACAGGGAAGACCATAGAAGGAGGGTCTTTTTGCTCCCTTTATTTTTAAGTTTGTTTGACGTCAAGAAGCAGGCTCAGATAGCAGGAGAGCTTGTTTCCATGAAATGTCATCTCAGGCCTAAACAGTTTTACAGTGCCTCTTTAAGGATATTGGGAAATGGTTTTTGATCGCTGTGCTCTGTGAAGCTAAAATCCTCACGCAGAAGCCAGGAACAGTTTGTTATACCTCAGTTAATGGTTTAACCTTAATGCTCTCTTCAAATGAACACATCCTGTCATTCCATAAAAAGGTCTATCCAACAAATTCTCTGGGAATATCACTTTCTAAATGTTTAAAATTCAACCTTACAGCATAGCGTCCATGAATGTACACACTGTAGTGTGATGTTATCCAGAGAGCATGTGACCTACTCTGCATGTCCACACTCCAGACCACACAATGAGTGTGCAGTTAACCTTCCCTGCATATCAAAGCTTTGAGTCACAAACGTACGTCTAACCACTGCCTTCCTCTACCACTTTCGCTTTTCTCATCCCAACAGGCCTTCTTGCGTCCCCCCAGTCGGCCCCAGGGAACCTGGAGAACAGTAAACCCAGTGAAAGCCGTATGAACGTATTTCCTGGCAGCAGGGAAAACAGCACTGTGGACTTTAGCAGGGTGAGCTCCCTCTACATCATGTCCTATTGTAAATATTGTTGATGGCTATCACTTAAAGGAATAGGTCCACAAAAAGGACATTTGTGTCAATTTTCTCATTAATTTCTCTTTCTTGGCCTCGGAACACAATAAAGATCTTAGACATGTGAACAAGGATGCTGTTTTTTCATACAAATAAAGTAAACAGTTACCAGGGACTGTTAAGCTACAAAAATGAAGAAAAACACCATTCAAGTTTTTATATTACACCATATCAAAGTGATCCATGTGATTAAAATGATTGCCAAAACCTTTTTTAAAATTAATTTTATTGTGCATGATGCTTGGTGTAATTTGAAACACTTTTTGGACTTTCAAGGTGAGAGGTTTTATTGGAGCTGAAAGATTAATCAGAATAAAATTGAAAATGTATATGAAAATATATGATGGATTGTTTGAAAATGAAGAGTATATATATATATATATATATATTGTTTTTTAACAAGAATAACAAAAATAAGAATAATGATAAATCATTACTATTTTTATTATCAATATTATTTTATAGTCATATTGATATATGTACTCGTAATATGATTTTGTTTTTGCCCAATTGTGCATTTCCACAAACCTAGAGTTTTTTTTCCCCAAAATTGTTCAGCCCTAGGTTTTGTTTTTGTCTCAGAAAATGTATAATTAATATAGACCATAATGTAAGTAATCAGGTTTAAAATATAGATAATTATCACAAAATCATTAAAACTGTTTTGGAAGCATTCTTTTCACCACCAACTATTTTGTAAACATGTCATAATGTAATTCAAGATTTGCAAGCAGATTGTAAGTAAAGGATGGAGTTTAAATTCAAATGGGAGATTATGACTGTTTTTGGTGCAAAACCCTAGCATTGTACTAGCATACTGGTATGAGATTGTTCTCACCATAAAAGTCTCATGGCAAGATGATATATTCCAAACACTGAGCGCTCTCCGTGTCTGTCTGGTTGGTATCAGGACAGCCAATCCCCTTTTCCCTGTAGTTGCGGCTCTCTGGGAGGGGGCGGCTAAAGGCCTGCAGTAAGTCTCAACACTGTTATAGCTTATAACCTGTCTTCCAGTGTGTCGTCATTGAGTGCCACATGAGGTTGTGTTTGTGACTCTGGTCTTCTGTGATGTCTTCTTGAGTGGTTAACCATGTTTTGATGTCTGTATTGAGTGTCGTGATTAAATGATGTTTGAAGTGTCTTGCGAGAAGGAACAATGCTTCTTTTTTCGATATTGCAGTACTTCACAGTGTATCTAAATCTGAGGCTGTATTGTATCTATTGTAGCCATTAGGGTAACATAAGGTTAGCAAATAACTTGTTTCTGTTGAAACATAGTGAAGTATTGGTTTGAACGAATTCTCACAGTCTTATGCTTGTTTTTTTTTGTTTTTTTCAAAATCCCCTTTTCCCTGTAGTTGCGGCTCTCTGGGAGGGGGCGGCTAAAGGCCTGCAGTAAGTCTCAACACTGTTATAGCTTATAACCTGTCTTCCAGTGTGTCGTCATTGAGTGCCACATGAGGTTGTGTTTGTGACTCTGGTCTTCTGTGATGTCTTCTTGAGTGGTTAACCATGTTTTGATGACTGTATTGAGTGTCGTGATTAAATGACGTTTGAAGTGTCTTGCGAGAAGGAACAATGCTTCTTTTTCGATATTGCAGTACTTCACAGTGTATCTAAATCTGAGGCTGTATTGTATCTATTGTAGCCATTAGGGTAACATAAGGTTAGCAAATAACTTGTTTCTGTTGAAACATAGTGAAGTATTGGTTTGAACGAATTCTCACAGTCTTATGCTTGTTTTTTTTTGTTTTTTTCAAAATAAAACAGAAACTCTAGACTGAATTTTTTTTTTCTGTTTTCCATCAAATGTCTACCTGGTTCTGGATGAATAAACTCACTGGAAGAAGATGGACATTGTTCTTTACCTGGTTTAATTTGATAGCTTGTTTTGATTCTGCAATTGATCCTGAACTTCAGATGATGTCCTGTTTTGTTAGGAGTTAAGTGACATCTTCCCATGAAGCCTGATCCTGGTTAGAAAAACGTGACGCGCTAAGAGGAAAAACATTTCTCCAGACCGAACTAGTCTAGATTCTGCTGTCCTGTGGATTGTGAAATATCACTTCTCTCCCATGTGTCAGTGGTTTGGTGTATTATGTGGTTGTGCAATTGTTGTTTTTGTTCATTGTCAATGGTTTATCATAGAATTGTTTCTCATAATTAATATTTGTGTTTTTCATAGTTCATGTGAAATTCGTTGATCACAATGTTAAACTGGCTTAACCAGATTTTTGCATAAATTTAGTTCCTGCAGTCTTGAAACCTGTTTTAATTAATGCATGATTACCAGAAATGACCAGATTTGCCAATAGACAGGTTTGATTTCCAGGTTTTGTAACTTTTGTAACTACATAATCCCAGTAAGCCAATACACCATTCTTCAGGTTCATAAACACATAAACGTCTAAGACTAGCACTACGCACCTGATCTTCTTCTTATCCGTGCTCTTAAGGTGGACATGAATTTCATGAAGAAAATTCCTCCGGGCGCTGAGGCTTCAAATGTTTTGGTGGGGGAGGTTGATTTCCTTGAGCGTCCAATCATTGCTTTTATCCGTCTCTCACCTGCTATTCTTCTCACTGGACTGACCGAAGTGCCCGTTGCAACAAGGTAGCACTCAAGCACCCCTGAAAACATGGCTTGCTTTTACATAAACGATCATGAATAGCTTCAGTAGGTCTCTTATGGCTGGCATTGTATGTGAAGCCTTTTATGCAACTTTTTCCAGAAATTTTATTTCCTCCATTTTTAAATTTTTTTTTTTACAGATTTCTCTTCTTGTTGTTGGGACCTTTCGGTAAAGGGGGCCAATACCATGAGATTGGCAGGTCAATAGCTACTTTAATGACAGATGAGGTGAGGCATCCACTTTGAATAAGTATTTACCAAAGAATGCATAAACTAAAAAGATGTATACATTGAATGCAATGGGGAAAAAAAAGCATCTGTCGATTGCATAAATGTAAATAATAATGTAATTTGATATGAATGAAAACAGTGCTGTCAGAGATAAAGTTCAGGTTCAGTCGGTTATACTGCCTTTGCTTCTTGTGTCTTCTCACAGCCTTGTTTTCATTCACGGCATCTACCCTGACAAAAGGTCCATAGAGATCAAGATAAACTCTAACCAGATGCTTTAACCATATTTTTAAGCCTTCAGGTAGCGTTTTATAGCATTTAGGATGTACACTTTTGTTCAAAAGTTTGAGGTCAGAGGAAGAAATTATTATAATTATTTATCAAATATACATTAAATTGACCAATAGTGAAAGCAATACCATTTATAATGTTACAAAGTTCTGATAAAAAGCTGAAATAAGTTCTGAAATAAAAGCTGATCTTTTGAACTTTCATCAAAGAATCCTTCAAAATAATCAGTTTACACAGATAACGGTCAACATTGATAATAGTAGGAAATGTTTCTTGAGCACCAAATCAGCATATTAGAATGATTTCTGAAGGATCATGTGACACTAAAGACTGGAAGTAATCACTGCTGAAGATTTCAGCTTTGCCATCACAAGAATATATTACATTTCAAAATATATTACAATAGGAAGGAAACTTAGCTTGTCTTTACTCATAATCATCATTTTAAGGTTGCAACAGTTACATTTAGTTCTTTATAATCACATTTCCACATTTTCTCTAACACAATGCCAGATCTTTCATGATGTAGCATACAAAGCCAAAGACAGAAATGACCTTCTGTCTGGCATAGATGAGTTCTTGGACCAGGTGACAGTGCTGCCTCCAGGAGAATGGGACCCCACGATACGAATCGAGCCGCCAAAGAGCGTCCCATCTCAGGTAATCATCGCCTCAGAGATATGGTGTTAGAGCTGTTGTGGAGTAGTGTAACCAGAAGTTTGCTGTTTTAGTCTCTGAAAGAAGCCAGCTATGAGCGACAGGGTTAACAGGGGGTTGTTGTTGTCTTTTTTTTATGTGTGCAGGAGAAGAGGAAGATGCCTTCCATGCCTAATGGCTCTTCTCCACTATCAGAGATTATCAAAAAAGAGGAAGACCACACTGGACCTGAACTCCAGAGGACAGGAAGGTCAGAGCTAGTCCAACCTCCACCATTTATATACGTTTTTTTTTTTTTTGCATACATCAGCCATATTATTGTTGAGTTTGTCTGTATTTAAAGCAGGTACCGGTAGAAGTTTGGATCCATATGAGGTGCAAAGCACAGAGAGACTATTGTATATCATGCCATAAATATGGCTGATGGGGTTATATACATGACATACTTAGAGGTGTTGTTCTCTTACATTAAGCCAGTAAGGTGTCTGGACATTGAGGACATGTATAAATGTGTCAAACCTGAACCCTGCTGAACAAAGTGTTAGGGAGAGAGACAGAAGGGGGTGGTGTTGGATTTACTTAAGTCTCTTTTGATGAAGGAGGACCTTATTAAACAGGCATTAAATGGAGGGGGTAAAAATGTTTTCATGGTGCAAATTTTGTAAGCCTTTCATGTCGGAGGCATTGAATAAAGGCGGTATATTTAACAGTGGCGCCCATCCTTTGATGTGCAGCTTAAAATGGCCGGCTGGAGACAGTTATGTAAGAGAGCCGTCCATTAAGACGTGTTTTAAGAGCCCCAGAGCGCTCTGAAAATACTGCACACCCCATTAGGACAAAATGAGAAGCCCTTATAATATCATTTCCAAATGCATTTACTAATTTTATTTCCATTAATGGTGGTATTTTACATAGTTAGCTTCACTGTTATACCCAACAGTCAGCCATAATTTTTATTTATTAGAAATTAGTGTATATGTATAAATACAAAATATATCAGGGTGTCCGCGGGGTCTTAAAAAGTATTAAAAGTTGATAGATCAATTTAGAGAAAATTAAGGCCCTTAAAAAGGATTAAAAAAATCTTAAATACCATTTTCCAAGGTATTCAATTTTGTATCACTTTTCATTATGTATATTTGTCCGAATAGTGGGGTTCTGTGTAGTTCCAACTCAATCCGAGCAGCTGAGACCTTAGCCATCTTCAAAAAACGACTAAAAACACATCTGTTCCATCTTTATTTGACACTCTAACTCTAGCACTTTCTATTCTATTTTAATTCTACTTTATCTATTTATCTT